CCCCCCCCCCCCCCCTCCCCTCAAAAAAAAACCTGAAACGACATTGGTTACAACTTTCAAGGGTATTTTTTTTTCATTTAAATGACCCAAACATTAACCTGAAACTACATTTGGTTGTGGTTTTCAGCGACTTTGGCCACTACAGCAAGCTGCCCCACAACTTGTGAAATCACACGACTATAAAAGTCAAGGCCACATTCACCATGCTGAAAAGGAGATCACCGGAAGCTGGGATCATAGTATGATCATTGATCCCAGGCAATATTCATGGGAGAAAAAACCAGGTCAGCTCAGATCCTTCTGACCTGGTTTCAAACACTCGAGTTACAATCCCCAAGTTACAAGTTTTCACCCACTTCCTAGCTAGGATATCGAGTTTAACAACCTTGGTCATAGAAATGGGCTGATCCATGGAAGCTTGCCATGTCACAGCTCATTGTCATGCCTTGAGCAGTGTGAAACATGGTAGTTGAATCGGGATACAAATAGTGTATTGGAAAGCCTTTATTTTGAATCGTGAATCGAATCTTTAACATAAACAAACATGAAAAATGAAATGATACATTAATATATAGTTAATAATATATAAATATATTCTTATTTATTTATTTTTACATATATATATATAAATATTAAATAATTTATAATACATATAAATAATAATATACATATAAAAATAAAAACATAACTTAATTTATACATTAAATATTTTCAATAATAAAAACTTATAGTAGTTAAACAAAATAAAAAAAATAAAGAAAACAAAATATTTAAGGTGTTATACTAAATTTTTTATTACTTAAAATATTATCTAAATCATAATAATAATAATAATAATTAATAATAAAGAGAAGTTACTTTCTAAAAAGAATAGTGAAGTAAAAGGCCCCTTAACCAAATCAAAAGATAAAATAAAACTTGGCCCAGCCCAACTTTTCTAACCCTAATTATTTATCCTGCAACCCTTCTAATGGTGAGACTCAAGCCATCACCGCTGCCTTCCCTCTTAGAAAAAAACAGGACTGCAGATGCCGGAGAAGACATAGCCACCGTCGGTGAAGACAGAGCCGCTGTCAGAGAAGACAGATCGACCGGAGAAGACAAATCGACGGAGATTCGTCAGAGAAGACAGATCGACACTTTCCCTCTCTTTTCTGCTTTTTTTTTTCCTAAAAAACTATTTTTTTAGGGTTTCTAGAATCGGGTCTCGCGTGATCCGACCCGGTTTCGAGGCGCGACCAGCTGTTTCAAAATCGTGCAATTTAGTTCAAAATTGCAATTTTTCCAATTCATGCCATGATACGCACGATTCACATGCGATTCTTGATCCAAAACGAGACGACTTGCGATTCGAATCGCGGAACCTTGGACTCGTATCATACGATACGAATCGCGATACATCCGATACTTACTACCATGGTGTGAAACACAGCCAACAGCAACTATTGCATAAGAGACAAAAAAACCTTTTTGGGCCCTCAAACAATGTCATTCGGAGCTGTTTAAGTGGGGCAATCTTCGATTTTTCCCCTTTTATTTCATCAAAACACACGCTATTTTCCCCAGTCACTCCTTTGGAAGGATAAAACTCTAATTGGTCTCATCTCTCTTTGGCACAAACCATTTGACCCAGAGCTCTCAGATGCATTTCCAGCCAACTCATGGCACTCCAATCAATTTTCCAGCCAACCCACAATGTATGTAACTCTGGCATACCATTCTGTAGTCTCCAGTCTCTACTGTGTTCACATCCATCAGAATCTGTTCTGTTTACATCGAAGAAGGGACTACATCATCTCCATAAACCAGAGAGCTCAAAAGCGAAAATGAAGAACACAAACACAAAAATAGAGGCCAAGACCACATATCCAGAACAAAAATAGATGAACCAAAGACCAGAGACCAGAACAAAGAGCAGAGAAAGAGAGAGTAGAGACCAAACCAGTCAGCAACTCTTCAAGAACCAAAGTCCTCAAGTCCATAATAGAGAATAGAGACCAGCCACAAGACTGGTCAACTCAACACAAAAACAATGGGAACAGATCATGGAATGAGGGCGATGGAGAGTATGAAGAGGCAGAGAAATGCACACAAGCAAGGGAATAAGGAAGCAGAAGAGATTAAATTAAATTAGGTCAAGATAAGTGGTTTTTTTTTAGAGAAGTGGGTCGAAAACTCAGCCATGACCCAGGTAAAACAACTGTTAGAATAGTGGATTAAGCCTAACTCAACCCTACAAAACCGGCTTGTAAGGTAAGGGTTACTTTCCACTTATATACTATTCAATTGCCTAATCTCTAGTCGATGTGGGACTTGGGTTTTTCCCAATACACCCCCTCACGCCTATGAGGCATGCATCAATGGTGGGTGGTCCATTTTTAAAGTGGATCTAAATGGCTCTGATACCATGTTAGAATAGTGGATTAAGCCTAACTCAACCCTACAAAACCGGCTTGTAAGGTAAGGGTTGCTTTCCACTTATATACTATTCAATTGCCTAATCTCTAGTCGATGTGGGACTTGGGTTTTTCCCAATAACAACAAAGCAGGATTGGACAAAGGGCAGATCCCATGATCCTACAATCTTACTGTCCCACTCGACCCCACCAAATCCTGATCCTAATTCTGATGCAGAACAGGAGGCTTTCCAAAAAACACAAGATTATGCAATTTTCCGATCTTTCTCATGATTTAGAAAAAACTGATTTCCATTGTTAAAAGACAAGCAAGCAGAAGTATTATTGAGAATTTAAATCTTTTTTTTTTCACTCATAATATTTTTTATTTATTCTATTTCAAATGATATATCATCATCCGCATTGTATTTTTCCTCCTTTCTATCAAATAACAAAAAAATAATACTCAATACTTTACGAGCATTGAAATTTCTATATGCTTTAAACATAATTTTCATAGTTGAAATAAGAAACTTCAAGATTCCATGGTACGGAGTAGGGATAAAATGCATAAGAACACAGCAGAGATAATTTACCTTTTAATCTTTCAAGGTCAGCTTTATTTTTGGCATCAAGATCTCTCTGAATTTGGAACTCACTTGCTAAAGACTTGTGCTTCAAATGAAGTTCACTGAATTCCAATCTCAAGTTTTTAACTTTCACCTCAAGATCAGAGGACAATGTCTGCCTACACAAAACTATAAACAAACAGTGTAACCAATAAAGCAGAAAGACTTCTCTGAAAGAATGAGCATAACATTCAACTATCAGATTAAACAAGCACTCAAATCTTACCATCTCCAGGAAGCTTTTTCAGTAATGCAGTACGCAATCCATCCATCAGAACCCAAAGGTTATTAACAGATATGACTATATTTTTTAAAACGCTTTTAGCTTTTTCAGTACTAATTTCCGTTTGCTCTTCCATCTGGTTTGCATAGTTACATGTGGAGGCACATTCAGTTGCACCAGTTTGCATTAGCCGGCCAAGAAACACATCCTGAACAGTAGATGGACTACCATCTGGCAAACAGATCGAAGAATCCTCTCATTAGCTAAAACATTTTCCCAAAGTTCAGACTAATAAAGTTTCTTACATAATATCAAATAATCAAGAAATGTAAAGACAGATTTTGCAATCCCCAGAAACACAGGTAGCACATCATTCAGCGAAAATAATTCAAACATCAAAGAAGTCTTGAAGAAAAATAGACACATTAATGCAGGTTTTAAAAGTTAATTACATAAAAAACCAGTAGCAGGAAAATTCCAGACATCATTTCAGGCCATTAGTTCCAGGTAAGCATTCCAAACAGATTAAGAAAATATGGCTAATATGCAGCATTTGAAATTCAAAATAAGAAACAAATATTCAACACTTTCAGTTTGATATATTTTTTTAAACTTTAGAACACTATTGGTCTAATAAGATGGTAAGTTTGGTTGAGGAAAAGAAAATATTAATGAATCAAAGGTCAAAACTTTGAAAATTTAAAATTTCTTCTAATTTGGATGAAGGTATAAACAAAGAGAAAATATATAAATGGAAAAATTTTAAAATTTCTCTATATATTCGCTTTAACTCAACTTAGTGCAATCTTTACGTTATTCCAAAAATAGTAAACAAGAAGTGGCAATAATGGCCAATGGGATTCTCCCTTGGAAAATGAAATAACTATTTTCCTTAAAGTTCATCCTCAAAACCTTAGGTTTATCACTTTATCTTCACAGCTTAATTTATAATATACACACATAGCAACCAGAAAACATGTAATGCTGCAGGATGGAATACAATTACTAGTAAACCAACTGATTACTAACACTATGGAATTTAAAGATTTTCCAAAAATATTGTCACCGTAAAGAGAATAGAGGAGCTAACCAATGACAATCCTAGATTCAACATTAATAGGGCATTTTAGAATATGAAAAAACAATTAATTTAAACAACTCTACAAAATTGGAAAATATTTCAGTGGCAAACAATCATACACAAACTAGCAAGACAATGGCATGCCATACCTGCACTATAGTAAAAGGAAAAAATGACTATTTTTATGAATAATTATTCATGAGTAGTTTCGTAATAATAAAAAAAAATTGAGCAGTCACTTAGGAGTAAGTTTAGAATAAAATAATAAAAGCGAAAAGAGATCTTTAGGAAAAGGTGATTTTAAGGAATTGTACAAAATATAATCAACAGGTAAGATGATCCATTTATAATTGAATACCAAAAGTAGTTATCAAAGGGGTATTCCCTTCGTAAAATGGTATAGATAAACACACTGCTAAATAATTTCCTGTACCTAGAAAGAATACAAGTTAGTGACAAGGACATCATAGCATAACGAGTTACTAGCCTTTTTAACATGTAATAGGAAAGTCAACACAATAGAGAGAATTAGCCTTATAAGCACAGCAAGGTACTCTAAGAAAACACAATTTTCCTTCCACCTGCACAGTTGGTTTCCAACCTTCACTCACTTCAGGCTCTCATCCTGCTTCTGTCATTAGTCAGGATTCCCCAGAGAGTAGTTGATTTCATAGCAAGCAAACAATCAACAAATGGTAATAAATTTTAATTTATTTCACCTTTGGCACAAAGTTTCAATATGATGTCATTTGATATATCATATATGTATGCCATTATTGAATATATAAAATATTAAATCATAATTATTCCCTTTTCATTTTTTTTCTGTTTTAATCAATACATCTTACAAAAATAGTGTTTTGTACCACACCAAAGTAAGGACTACAAATGAGTAAATTTTACATTTTTCATGGACTAAAAAAAATGAAGATGAATTCATTCCCAAATATTCATAGTTTGAGACCAAAAATTATATTTATACCATATTTTAGTTTACAAAAGTTTTCATCATGGAAAACAAAATCAAATTAATCTTTATATTTTTATATTAATTTTATCTTTAACACAATCTAACATGAGATTAATTTTCAATTTTTCACTTAATCAGAGGTAAAACATTTTTATATTTTTTTCTATACTTTTATTAATTTTTATTGTATTTGGACACAAATATTAACTAAAATATTTTTTAAATTATAAATTATAAATAACTTTAAAAAACATATAAAACTGAAGAAAGCTTTCTTTCCAATTTTCTATCTTCATCCTTTCATCACATTAGTCTTGATCATAAAATTTTCTGATCAATGCAAGATTAAAAAATCATTTATTATTTCATATTTTTATTTATTTTACCTGTGTTTAAATAATGAATACAATTAAAACAATAAAAAAAAAAGGTGCATGAATTGTGGCAGCATATAATTAGTACCATAGTAAAGGACCTAGGAAATTCAATTTTGTAAAGTGTATGCGGTGTGTGCATCTGTTTAGCATTCCTATTTTCATAAGTACGAACACATTCCTCCAAAACATTTTGAATGTAGATTCATATATTTTTCCTAACCTGCCCTTCAAAACTTCTAGAATGATACTAATTACCATTCTATAATCTTGAACATTGTTATAAAAAATGCATATTCATAATATATATATATATATGTTATATATTAATAAATATATGTTATACATGGAAGAAAAATAGTTAAGCTTTTATTTTATTTTCCTAATTAAAATCATTTATTTTAGTTACATCAATTAGATCCTATACTAAATTGCATATTTGTATCCATTCTCACACACCAAACTACAAATTGCTTTCCATGTCATTTTATTTTTAATGCCAATCTAGAAATCAGAATAGGATTCACATTCCACTTTATTAATTCATAAATTTAATCTATGGAATTACAATTTTTTTTTTGCACCAAACATGACCTTGACACTTAGATCAGCAGAGGATTAACACATAATCTAGAATTTTTTTAGGATGGAGTAATACCAGTAAATCAAGAAAAATGGGTCAGAGATTGGCACAAAAATAGGTTACAAAGCAAGCAGCAGTGACTATGATAGCGATTCAATAGCCTGTTGTGTGACAAACAATGGTTTGACAAATGAGTTTATTGGCATGTGTTGCAGGGTACATCAATTAAAGACTAAAAAAGTAATCTAGCAAAAGAAAAGGAAACAGATCAAGCCTTATTGCAAGTTGCAGAAAACAAAATAATTGAAGAAATTTAAGTCACGCATAGGGCTGGGTTGTAGTGCACAATTAAGAGCAATCTCCATGTATAAATTCAATAATATGATCATTACCCTTAAAATCATAGTGGAGTATAAGTTGCAAATGTAATAGTATCTTGCATCTGTAATAGCTGTTTGCTAGGAGTCAGTGGCATATCATTTAGTGATATGTTAAATTAGTAAGATTTCAAACCAACTGTGTCTAGATATATATATATATAGGAGTTCTCTGTACTTGTAATTTCTTCAAATCTTTTTAATAAAAGTTCAGTTTCATCATTAGAATTTATTATCTATCACTCTTTAAACTTCTACACATCTATGACTCATCCAAATTTATACAAGAAAGACAGTGGTAGAGCTCTAATCCTACAAGGTATTAGGTTCCCCACTAATAGTACCAAACCATGGATGATGCAGTAAAATTAAAGATTCAACATATAAACATAAAACATTGACACAATAAGACCTAATTACCTAAATAGTAGAAAAAATATGTTCCCTGTAGTCAAACCCATAAATAAGGAGGGAAAAAACCGAATTTTGAAAATGAAGCTTCCAGGCCTCTAAACATTAAAAAAAATAACTAAAGTTATTGGCCTCATTAAGGTTCCAATAGGATCTCTAAGAGACACAAACCACTAAGAGCTAGAATTAGATTTCACAGAGTTATATTAGATGTGCTATCAGGTTAGATAGTCTTTCTCCTACAAAAGCTTTTTCCTCTTTTCCCCAGAATTCTGAGAAAAGTTTTGGCTGAAATTTAGAGCAAAGAAAGCTAATCCAAAAAGCACAAGGCAAATGCTCTTGCAAGAATGATCAATCACACAGCCTTAATTGATACATGAACCGAAGAAAGTATAGACACAACTAGAGATCATTTAAGTGGTTGGTTTTACTGGAAAGTTGGCAACTTAGCATACAATTGATCACTCTATTTGATTGTTATGCTTAACCCAAAATTATTTCGTACAAGAGATGCATGTGGCCCATTTGAACAAAGAAAAACTCCAAAATTTTAGTTTATTTTTTTAATGCCTTTTGACATTAATCCGCATCAATTTGGCACAAAAAATAATACTTGTATGTCACACACCTATGAAGGACCAAAAGTAAAAAACCCAAAAGAGAAGTATACAAGTAATGTTTGTATCTACACCCAACACAGCCAGCAATGTTTCTGTAAAATCATTTGGTCTTTTGTTAATCAGTTAATTTAAAAACTTATGACTTATGAGATATACATAGAATGAACTTGCAGGTTGCAAGCAATAAATGTCCCTCAAAATATATAAACCAAAACCTTCCCACCAACAAGAAAAATTATGGATTAGATGTTATTTGAACAAAAAATATTAGATTTGTGTTCATACATGCAATCAAACAAAGAATTAAATTAAATCAGTCTTGCAACAAGAGAACAAAATATAAATAACGTGCATGATGATGTCACCTTCCATGGTTGATGAAAATCTAGAATTTGATTTGCTGCTTGACTCTCTCGTACATTCAGAACATGACTCCAAATCATTAACCAGCTACACACACAATGAACAATAACAGTATGTCATCATGATACCAATCATTGAAAAATAATTACAGTAATCATATAATATTACAGTAATATTATGAGCAAAAATGAAATGGGACCCAATTACCTGCTCCCAAGACTTCCTGACCACTGCTAAAGTGGAATCATATGACTTTTGCCTCTCCTTCAGTTGAGAAACTCTATTCTCAAGAGCTGCATACTCTAACTTCTGAGTTTCTAGTTTTTGTGTAAGCTTTTGATTTTGATACTGAAGTACAACAATATCAAGCTGCAAAATAAGAGAATGCATGAGTTTAAATAATAACAATGACACTGTTTATTAACTCTGTTTTTCCTACGTGGTAGATCAGTAAATGAAATACATATGATGCACTGGATAGATGACCTATATTGCCATTCAATTAAAGTCCCATGAGATAAAATAGGGTAATAACATCTATTCAGGATTTGGAATCCAAAATCATTGTATAAGCATTAATTTTTGGAGAAATGAAACTAAATCAGCATTTCCCTGCATAGACATAAATTTCTCTTTTTTAATTACTCAGTAGTGTGCATTGCTAATCAAGGAATCAAACGAATTTAGGAAAAGAACTTGCAGTTTCTAGACTAGTATAAGCACTACCTCCCAAATTAAGAGTAACAGATCACACAACAAATAATTTTCATCCAACCCAAAGTTAGAGAAACAATCAAGCATATAAAAAGTTGAAAAAATGTTCCATAGAGTTATAATCTCCATTACTGCACTCACACTAACAAACTATCATAGATTATACAAATTATACAAAATAGTAACAGAACCGATTGATATAGGTCTAATACACAAATTACATAGTCCATTCGCTTAAAACCCGTTTCAGAGCAATAGCAACATCAACCAAACACTACATCACTAGGTGGGTCATCAAAATAGATCAATAGACAGCACTGCACTCCATTAAAATAGAGATTCTGTGACATATTCAAATCAAGCCTTTACTTTTGGTACAAACATGTACATGTTGTATAATTTCAGTCGCAGCATGAAACTATGTTAAACCAGTTTTCTCAAAAGAATTAGACTAAAAAACCATTTGAGTCCATCAAAGGGGCAAAATACTAACAAATAGCTATCATGTTAAACAAACAGGAACGAGCAGCCAAAAAGAAAAGAAGAAAAAAAACAGAAATATGCAAGTAACTTTCAGAAAAGATTTTCCTTGTTTCTAGTTAACCATCATACATAATATATGAAATTAAAACCTCACGGACAAAAACTAACCCCGGAAAAACAGAAAACCTATGAAATGCTTCGTATAAGAAATAAGAAATTAGAACTTAGAAATTTGAAACACAAGCATCAGATATTAAGGGGGAAAAAGTGGCACCTTTTTGTCTTCAGAAACGGGCAAGAAGGGTAGCTTCTTGGTAGTAGCAGCTGCAGGCGTAGGGGACAAGGAGCTAAAGTGACGTCGTTTTCTGTCCGAGTCACCCATACTCCCCATTGAAACAACACACACACAAACCCTAGAAAACACCCACTTCACTCACATCACGAAATTTCAAAACCATCCGTCGAAAAAACACCATTCACGAGGTGCCCCAGCCACCCCCAAACACAATCACAAACTTCAATTCCAAAACAAACCAAGATTAACCAATCCCTCAAAACCCTAATTCAAACCCTGCCCAGTGAACCAAACCAAGGGAAGAAAAAAAATAAACGAAATAAAATTTATTTTCTCTTCTTTTTTGTCTCTATCTATCTACTTCGAAACCTTGTCGAGAGGAATAAAACCTAGGATTTCAACGTATTTGAGTGTTGTTGTTTTCTCTCTCTCTCTCTCTCTGTTCTGTGCATACCTGTTTTCTCTCTTTCTCTGAATTGAAACCCGAAGAGGGAGAGAGAAATTGATTTGTATTTTTCTTCAACGAAATGGTTATAGCGTAATATTGGGAAGGTTCTGAGGGTATTTTCGTAATTGCAAGACTCACGCCGTTTGTGACTGATGTATCCGGTCATGAGTGGGGCTACTTGAGAGGATTAATTATTATTTATTTATTATTATAATTAATTATTAATTATAACCCTTATTGTTATATTATTTATCATGAATATGTTAAAAATAATAATAATAAAAAATAAAAAAGGAAAATGTTGTATATTTTGAAACTCATGAACCGAAAAATCTTCCGACTGTTAGAAAGTTCAATTTCTGTCGATTGATTTATTTAATATAAAAGCAATCATTTAATTTAATATTAACGATTTTTTACATTTTCGGAGGATAATTCAGTACATGTAGCATATCTCGACAAAAATAGTGTTTTTTTCTACCTAAAATGTAGCGTGTTAAAAAGTGTGATTCCCAAACATTTATTTTTATACATAGATAAATTTATTTATAGGTAAGTAAAGGAAATACTTCATTTGGTAAATTCTTTTTTATTTTTGATATTTTATTAGACAATTTTATCTTTAAATTTGTATTCCATATACAGTATAATTTGGTTTTTATAACTTTTAAAACCACTCATTCTCTTCATCCAAAAATAAATAAATAAATAAATAAAAACCACTCATTTTCCGTATAAAAAAATATATTAAAAAAAACTCACTCATTCAGTCAAGTTTCAATTTTCAATATTTTTTCTTTTTCTCCTACAAATATCTTAATTGTTTAGTATAAATTTAATTATAATATAATTTAATTAATTAAAATAATTATATATTATAAATTTTAACAGTATAACATAAAATTTATGTTTTACATTACAGATACTAAAATATTAAATAAGTTTCTAAATCTTGAAAAGCAATAACATATAATGACAAGAAATAAAAAGATAATAAATATATTGATTAAAAATTATACATAGTTAAAAATTAATAGTAATTAATTTTCTAAATCTTGAAAAACAGTGGCAAATATGATGACAAGAAATATGATGACAAAGAAAGAAAATAAATATACTTACTATTATGTATTAAATATGAAGCACTACCTTCTATGTTCGATAGTTTTTAGGGAATTTTTTTTAACAATTGGATTTTTAAATCCTTTTTAATTCAGTATAATATTTTTTATAATTTTTTTAATTTAATAGCTAATTTAATTTTTATTGATTATATTTATTTTTAAATTAAATTTAATAGTTTTCAAATTATATAATTTATATATTCAAATATAATATTTATTTGTATAAATTTATAATGAATTATAATTATATATAACAAATATTTAATTTATGTGCTATATAGGCTAAAATATTAGTTAATTCAAAATTCAAAATATTTGTAATAATACTAATTTTTTAAAATAGTGATATCAAATTGAATAAATAATTGTCTAATATTTTTTATCTAGATAAACTCATTCATTTTTATTTATCTTGACAAGATCATAAATGATAATAAATCGAGTTATCTAATAAAAAAAATTATTAAATAGGTAAAAGACAATTCAAATTTATCTTGGCCAAAAAATGATAGGTAATTTTTTTTTTTCAATTTAGTCTCTCTATTTTTGAAATGTTCAATTTAGTTATACTATTTTTAAATAAATCAATTTAGTTATCTGATTTTTTAAAATATTTAATATTATTTTTTTGTTTGATTTTATTAATGTCATTAGTATCAATTTGGATAAAAAGATAATATTAAACATTTTGTAAAAATTAGAGAAACAAATTGAAACATTTAAAAATAGTGAAATCAAATTAAATCATAAAAATAAATAAAAGGACTAGTATAATTAACCAAGTTAAAATAATAAATAAATTTTTATAATAATAAATATTATTTTAAAGGATCTTGTTCTTTTATGGATCTTGGATGAAATAATAAGTATGGACCTCTATATATAAACTATTTGAAATGTAATCAATTAAAATATTAAAAAAAAATACATGATTTAATTAAGATTAAATATATGATTTATTAATTTTTTTAAAATTCTTAAATTAGGTCTATAACTAAAAAAAATTATAATTTAATCTTTCATCTTTTTATAATTTAATCGTAAGTATAATTTAGTCCTTACAATTTGTAACGACCCGGCTGGTCACTACACACTGCACAACACACTTGAACACCAGACAGAAAGGAACCAATATATATACATATAGTGTCTAGAATATACATATATACAAGATCCAAGTCTGACTAGAATTCAAAGTGTATAAAATACATCAAACGCTATTATATCAAGTAGCTAAATCAACAGAGCATCCAAAAAGGGTCAGCTTTGTCTGCCAGCTGCAGACTTACCACCAGCCACCAACCTATCCCTGCTCTGCTCCCATACAACGTATGATCATTGCAGTCCAAACACCATGAAAACAACAAAGGGTAAGCTAGTGAAAAGAATCAACATATAAAACATATTTAAGTAATATGAATAGCTACAACTATCAGCACATCAATCATCTTAACAACATCAGCTTAATATATATAACAGCACACATCTCACATCATTCAGCAATAACAGCAGTAAACAGCAGTAAAACATACAATGCGTCGTCACGCATATCAATTCAGAGATCTCCTACAACAGCTCAGCCTTACGGCCTACAACAACTTAGCCTTTCGGCCTACAACAGCTCAGCCTTACGGCCTACAACAGCTCAGCCTTTCAGCCTACAACAGCTCAGTCTTACGGCCTACAACAGCTCAGTCTTACGGCCTACAACAGTTTATATCAGCATACAACACAGCACAACTTACAACATACAACAATAACAGCTTACAACACGGCTAAACAACTTAGAGCACAACACAACTCATCAATATACATCTAATACAGCTCAACATTCTGATTCAACGTGAACACCAAATCAGCACGGCTATACTTACATCTCAGCACAACATATATCAACATTAATCAGCATTTTCTAGCATATAACAACATATAACAACATATAAGTAACCATCATACCTGCGCCCGGCACCCGGCGTAGCACAACCAGAGAGCATCAGGGTTCCAATGTGCCCGACGCAATTCCTATTGCGCCCGACGTGATAGGAAGCAGAGACCTCACAAGGTCTCATAAGCCCGGCGTGCAAACCTGCGCTCGGCGCAAGGTAAGCAGAGACCCTCCCAGGGTCTCATGCTAGGCGCAATAGAGATTGCGCTCGGCGCCACCTCTAGCAGAGACTCCCAAGGAGCCTCCACGCCCGGCAAGACAAAATCAAGCTCGGCGCCAAACCAGAACCACACAACATAAATCACCTACTGATATCGCGCGCAGCGCTGTCCCGCCACGCCCGGCGTGGACCATCCAGAGACTCACATTCTCAAACTCGCCCAGCGCATTCATCATTGCGTCCCGCATGCTTGCCCAAATGGAGTCTCTGATGGTCACGCGCCCGGCGCGAAAAACTACGCCCGACGTGACACCCAGCAGCAACCCTCAAACTTTCGGAAATCTCTTCAAATCCTGCAAAAGCAGCCAGAAAACCCACATGCAATCCATCCAAAGTACTACATTTTCAACCAAAAGCTCAAAAACACCACCTTTTTACACATGCAACAACAAATCAAATAAATCCCCAATTTCTTCAAAAACTCCAAAACCCCCAAAACTTCATTTTTCACCAAACTCAGCCAAAATTAGCCAACACCAACAGCTAATTGTTGAGCTTAGGGGAGCTGAAGACTTTAAGAGTTTTGATGATCACAACAACTTGGAGACAACAAGTGTACAACAACAACATTGAACACAAAAACAAAGTCAAGGAAGAGTCAAGAAAAATACCTTGAAGTATAGCTATGTAATAGAGCTTAGGAAGCAAATTGTTATAAATGAATTGTTATATTTGTGTCTGTGTGTGCTTTGTGCATTGAGCAAATCTTGTCTAGAATCAAGTAGGGAGTAGATGATGATGAGTTAAACATTGGAAAATTATTTTGAGACTTAAAATGAAGTTTTAAGAACTGACTCAAAATAATCGATTATTGTTAAATATAATCGATTATTTCAGCAAGTGGGCTAAGTGGAATGCCTTGCTGTAATAATCGATTATTTGCCAAAATAATCGATTATTTCAGGAACAACTCTCTGGAATAATCGATTATCCAGCTAAATAATCGATTAAATTGTTCTTGATTGATTTCCAGAAATCTGAAGAACAAAATAATCGATTATTCTTTAAAATAATCGATTATCTGGGTTTGAATTTTTATAAATAGTTTGAACTCTTTTGAAACTTCATAACATTGAGTAAAAACTGATAATCAACTGGTAAAAACGTTTTAGAGAGTCTGTGTGACATCTTGGAGAGTTTTCTTTGTGAAATCCAAGAGAAAAACGTTTGTGAAAAGCTTGTGAGGAAATCATCATCATCATCATACTCTTGAAAGAGGAAGACAAAGATTTGTTCAAGAATTCCAGGTGAATTCGTTTCATTTTATTCTTTGTGAATCTTTGTGAAAAATCTTGAGAAGGGTTTCTCAAGTGGTGAAGTTTCTTGTAGTGGGTTCTACAAGGGTTACTTTCTTGGGGTCAAGAAAGTGGTTATCTTTTTGTAGTGAAGTATATGCATGTGTGTGTGCTTGTAAACCTTCTTGCTAAAAGATAGTGGATCAAATCTTAATCAGGTGGTGATTAAGGACTGGATGTAGGTCACATGTGGAGTGGCTGAACCAGTATAAAAGACTTGTGCAATCTTCTTCAACCTTATCTCTTATTTTGTAATTTCTTGGTTGTGCTTTAAAGAAGATAAAACTTGATTAACATGTGTATGTGAATTTTGATGGTTTAAATCTATAATTGGATATTATATTTGAACCTCATTGTCTTGTAATCAAGTTGCACATTGCATTCATATCATTGTAACAAGTCTTTAAGAGTGCTTCATTTGAAAATTCTGTCATAGAAAAGTTTTGATTGAATTTACGA